TCTGGCAATTCAATCTAGGTTAGGCAGTGGGGGCCGTAGTGCTTGGAGGCTTGAGTAACTAGGCAAGATTTCCTATATACGATCCTCAGGCACGAAGTCTACAAATATGACCTACATTGGGCGCAAACGTCTGTAAATAGTACCTACATGGAGCCCTAGGGTAGGAGTCAAGAAAGGAACATTACCAAACAGGGAGCAAGACGATGGCTACCGCACTTATTTGGGCTTCCACATGATGCCTTCCCCCAACCCAAGCCTATGACCTGTGCAGCAAAAATACACTTGTGGTTATCCATCCTCGACCCCGAGCTCTCATCCCTACATACAATACCCTAAACCCTAAACCCAAACCTCAGATCCCAAACATACAGCCCTTAAAACCTGCACCCTCTGACCCTAAACACCCTGGACCCGATACCCACAAAAGGCCTGAGTGGCCTGGTCCTGCTAAAGCACCTGTTCTGGAGCGACTACCTAGATCCCAAAAGTATGTAAAATAATGGCCTTTATGGCTGTTGTTGTCGTTTTAGGGATATTATTTTACATACTTTTGGGGTCTAGGTAGTCAAGGTTTTGCGATTAGGGTTTATGGCTTAGGGGTATTGCCCCAGTAATGGAGAATCAAATGGACAAATACATGGAAATTGTATTATTATCTAGGGACTCGCGTTTCTCAAAATTGGGGGTCCCTTTTTGGTGGAGGGCCCATATAATAAGGATTATGGTGTATTGGGTATATTGAGGACCCCTATTTAAGGAAACTATCACATTGGCCATGAACTGCGAAGTGAACGCATCGGTTTGCAGGATTAGGGCGTTTTCATAGGAACCCATGCATTGTATGATGTACTTTTGATGGGGGGTTGGGCTTTTGTTGATGGTTCAGAAATGTTCAGAACTGATACCTCGTTCCCCAGAAAGGAAGGCCTTAGCGCAGGGCCACGAAAGGTACATTATGTACATGCAAGCCAAAACTCCAAATCTTATGTGGGAGCTGCTCGAAAGGTTCTCTACATACTGCTAGCCGGAGACCTATCAGCCTCTCCAATCCACACAGTTCCAAAAGTCCCTTGCCAACGGAACCCAGATCCGCAGACCCAACAAAGGCTTGCAAGTGTAGAGAGCCACACACCACTATACAAGGGCTCCGTAGAAGGGGAAGGGCATGACACATGAAGGCTGGGATTTAGGTAGGGGTTTATGGTAATTAGAGTTTCTAAAAATGAGGCCTCCTTTTCCTTGGGGGCTAGTAAGGAACTTGAATTAAGTTACCGCAACATGGGTATATGATACACGTTCGTGTTTCCTTGCTGATGTAATTTAACTTAAGATCCTCAACAGCAACCCAGTTTTAGGAGTCCGTGGGGGGTCTATCTTGGGGCCCCCGGTTTGTGGAAACTCCCAAAGTTTGGGGACCCGCTCTGGAGCCTATAAAGGTCAGGCAGCCAGACGTGGGGTTTTGTGAATGAATGTTGGATCCTTTGCTCTGAGTGTTTGCCCTAGCAATTTCAAGAACACTCCCAGTTCCTGGCTTTCAGATCACGCATGCCCTCTTTGGCCAGACCAAAACCAAGGAGCCTCTCAGATCATACGTATACGATCCCTCATAAGGACCCCTAGAATTCCCTCAGAATCTCCACATATATTTCAGTTACATATCCCTATGTTCGCCAAGGGCCCCGATTTTGAGAACTTTGCCAATCGCGCCTTGCCGGCCAGCTACACCGGGTAGCTGCAAGTGACCCCCATCCTGACCCCCAACTGGTTGTTTGTGAGGATGAGATGGAAAATCAAATGGAAATTGCAATTTAGGGGTCTAGGATTAATAGAACATGGAAATGCAATAGGCAAGCAGAAGGAAAATGGCATGGACACAGGGGGAGAGACATCTACAGTAGGGCATCAGGTGATTCTGCCATTTCCAAGGACCCTGCCGAGATCATAAGAGCCTAGACTTAAGGTTCAGTACGTGGCTAAGGGTGTCACTATTTGAGACTGCAATGTGCAACCCAATATTGGGGGCATGATTGTAGGACAGTTTGGAGTTGCATGTGAGCTATAGTCTAAACTCCTTAAAGGGGGTTATCTTGTATAAGGGATTATATAGCGAACTATTATAGGGCATATAAAGGGGGATACTAGGAGTTTAGACCATGGCTCATGTGAATCGGACAACATAGAAGCCACCTAAACTGCAAGCGACCCTCCCTTATGCAAATGGTAGTTTCCCAAAATAAGAGGACCCCAATATAGACCCTAATATACTATAGTCCTTATTATGGGGAACCCCAAAAGGGTACCCCTAATTTTGGGAAACCCCCAAATGCTCGTCTGTGGTGCCGTTCCTGGCAGCGACACCCTAAACCCTAAACCCGAAACCCCTAAACCCTAGACCCTAAACCCTAAACCCTAAACCCCTAAACCCCAAACCCTTAAACCCTAAACCCGGTACCATTGGGAAATGCCACCTTTGAGCTTCCTGAGGTGTTGCCAAGAAAACTGCTATAGGGGTTATATAGGGTTTAGGGTTTAGGGTTTAGGGAATACATTGGGGTTATATAGGGATAATGGAAAAGAACATGGAAGCTACTAGGGGTTTAGGGTT